CGACACCGCAACCAGGAACAGGAAGAAGATGAACACCACGTCGAACATGAGCAGCGAGTTGAGCGTCATAAGCTGCATAGTCTCTAGGGCGGAAGAGACGAGAAGTGTTCACTCTTGAGTCGGACGTTGCGGCAGCACGTCACTGAGAGTCGTTAGGGACACACAGGAGGAACATCGGCTTTCCGTTCAAAGTTCCCGATTTCTTTTTTCATTCATCTCCGGCCCATGACCGATTTTACTAACGATCTACGCGTCCCGGCGAGGCGTTATGATTCCCGAACGGAACAGGACAAAGTCTTTGCAAACACGATCTCACTGGTCAGTAACCACAAAATTGTGCATCAGTGATATGAAAGACGCCCGACACGCAGAATTTTACAGTTGTATAGTGTGGGTTGACCGACGAGCTGGACTTTTGCACGAGAGAAGTTAGGGACAACTGCACATACTTCAGTGTCATCTGTTACGACACGTCTAGAATTGGAAATTAGGCCTACCAACGTTACTGTCAAGAAACAGATAAACAGCGTTTTCAGGTGCCCACTGACAGCAGAGAAAATAATACGCGAACACCTGTAAACAAGCACTTAAACAAAACCTGAGACTTTGTGTCCACTTAAAAACTCCGATCAACTCTGCCTGACACATTAAGTGTGAACTAAAATCATTTCTCACCACAAAAAACCACATATGCAAATACCTCATCTGCGTCCCACTGAAATAAATAGGTAGGGTTTATGTAAATATTAACGGCTTATGTAAATGCGTATATCAAAGTGGTTCGCCAAGTCACTTCTTATTTGTATAGAGGTGAATCACATTATTAGGGACACTTGTGGTGGATAAACTGCATACTGCCTGTCCTAATTAGACGATTATATGCAACAAACTTGCGTGTCAGTTGCGCCTTCGAGTGTCAGAAAGCCACTTTCACTCGCTTCGAGTACAGACAAGGCAAGAACTACGAAACCACAGAGTGTTGTCTGTCTCGTTTGTTGGCGTGCCAACGTTGAAAGCTGGCGGCAATACGTAAGAAGAAAGGCGATATCACTGTCTTCGCAGACAAATCAAAGCGAAATTTTGTTTGAAACGCTGAAATGAGGATATCAGCAGATTCGGACCACGGGCCTGTTTGGGAATGCCCACTCACAGTAACAAGCACTAACAATATATGTCGAGGACTTACGGGGATATCAAACAGCACAACGACTCACTTTCCATACTGAAACTTCAATACTGAGACACAAATACCATCAGAATACAACTTTCACAGCGAATATATTTTAGTTAGTGTACCTTATTCTTGTCGAAATGTATCCCTGCTTAGAATCCAAAAATAGATGCGATTCATATAGAAACTTCCGCCTCTAGAAAAAAAAAGTTGCCTGAACGAAGAGACGGCTTATGTGACACCTGTAGCTGCTGCTCTCACGCACGAGGAAGAGAACGAGACCCGAACGGACGAAGACGGCGTTCGGATGGCGGCTCTGCTCTACACTCTACACTCTGCTGTGTGTATAAGCACGAGTAGACACCAAAAACCAACAACTTCATTGCGCATTAGTTCCAGTGCTTCTCTTTTCATACGCATCGCATTCAACTACGTTTAACGATCCACCGTTCTTTTAAACTAGAAATACGGCTTCTCTTGAAAGAAGGATTCCGAACGTTGTACCAAACACTGAATGAAGTCGACAGTTCTGAAAACGATTTACAAGATCTGAGACAAGGTAATTGCAACAGGCGGGGAAAACTTGCGAAGCTCGTCACACCCTCACTGGATGGCAACACCAGGTGTTGTGTAGGAGCATCGGAACCTGGAACGGGCTTTGGTCACAGCCGAACAGACATAGCCCACGTATCGCCCGCCCGCCTGCCCGCCGACAACACGCGGTTCGGTTCCTCCTACACCGAGACAAAACGTGCAACCCCCTCACATGAAGAAGGATCGATCTGTATTTTAGGCGAGCAAACAGGAGAGAGAAGGGAGTTACAACCAGGAGGGTCGCGCGTGCGCCTTGCGAGCAGGACACCCTGCACGACAGGACTGCACAGACGGCAGTAAGAGTGGGCGCAGGCAAGGTCGTGACGCATGTTCGTTGGAATCTCCTCGCCGTAATCTTTAAATAAACTAGAATACTCCCGATGGATCAACAGGCAGTTCATGAAATAGCTTTCCTTCCCACGCCGTGACCCCATTCCGACCGCTGAAACCCATTCGTCCACCGAAAACAGACGGGTAACACGACAACACGAGACCACTTGCATTCTCTGCCAAAATGCGTTCAAAACTGTTCCTCAACAACGTAGCACAGATCTATCATACGTGTACGTCGAAAATTCCCATGTTGTGAATATCATTTCTCGGTCTTGTTTCGCTCTCAAGAGAACCCGTATCAAATTTTCAAGAAACTGACCCATGACTATAGCCGGGGAGAGGGGGGAGGGGGGCTGCTGCATTACTATGCGCACATGCATGACCAGCGGCACGTCTAACGCCGTTCCTTATTTTTCAGCACAATCACTGCTGACAAAATTCCTCTTCAAATCATTCAGTGCACAGTGGCACTTTCAGTGATTTGAATTTCTTCCGTGATAGGTATGCAAAATACAGAATGATCCTCTCACCAGAGGTCCCAGACGCCGAGCTTAAGACCACAAATTATGTACCGATGGTGATCAGATGCTGGGGGTACCTCAGTCGATCCCGACACCCGTCGACTGCAGCAGACTGTTCTACACGTTCAAAGAACATTCCGTCGCGCTCTGTACGGTAGAAACTTTTCGTATCATTAGTGAATTCTGGCCGACAAGGCCCCCGCATGTAATCCCATCACACTTCTCTGTGTGTGGCGTACTGAAGAGAAACTCGTACACGAACAAGTGTCGCGCCATCGAAGACGTCAGAGAAAAAACACGGCACCAGCAGACTGATGTCATTCCAGAGGGGTCTGTTATGATGCGAAGTCGCCAGTTTGGTTGTGCATGGCCTCTGGAGCCAACCTTCAGAACGACACGAAGTGACATACGAGTATGTCCCCGCAACATCTGATCAGCATCGGAGCAGAAACAGTTTTACTGTTGCCACTGAAAGTCTGGGCCTGCAACAGAGGACCACTCCGCAGATTAATTCCTTTGTGCAGTGAAGCCACACTGCGACGAAGCGAGCAGTCTCAAGCACTGCCCAATTCGGCGAGTGCCCTCGAGTAAGAGCGCGGAAATTAACTTCGGAAATTTCGATTAAACATTGCTTCACTGCAGAATCAGGTGCAGCTGTACTCAAACAGTAGTAATCCTGGGCTGCGTTCCTCTCTTGGTCACGCGCATTGAGACACGGGATTTGAACCAAACAAAAGCCAGTACAGGCAATTAAGAACACTGACCGTTCCACTATCTTTAGGCACAGCCCCTGATTAAAGAATTCTTGACGAACATAATCGTTTTTGGATATGCCGGTGCACGTAGATTAAACAGGATTTACTCGGAAAGACTGGCGTTTCAGATAAATTCATCCCTGGATCAACTCGAAATTGCATCGCTGTATCTGCTTACCTAATGCAAAGGCTTAATACACATTTGCAACATTTATAACTAATCGTGCAACCTATAACATTTCAGCTTCATAGACCAACTGCCTCCTCCCATGCTTTCTCGAAAGTGCATTCAAAGCTGGCATCAAACTTTTCAACGGTCTACCACCTTGTCTCACGAGTCGTATGAACAAAAGTCACAATATAAAGCTGAACCAAAAAGGCACTTAAATACGCACTCGTTTTACTCTGTCGATGAATTCCCTTATGTTTTAAAATAACTCAAAATGATTTTATATATCCTGCCCAGGGTCCGCAAGTCGCGAGGCGACAATTCTGCTTGCGACTGGCATTTCAAAAGACACGCACGCATTCGCACGAATTATTATCTCTCGTCTCATGTTCATTTACTGAGCACAAGAAACGGGCAAACCACAGAGGCATCGCCCGTCGTTCGTCCTTATTAAAAAATGTCACTCCTCGTACACATGACCAGAGCTTGCGTTGCTGATATTCCACGCAGCCCTTCTTGATAAACTTACAGTCGCTCAGCTGGTCAGTTTCAAGAGTTGCGTGCGAACGGACAGAAAGGACCTTCCTTACGAGAAATGTCGTCGTGTCGCCTGTGTCTTCACACATTTATGTAAACTACTTAGCCAATACATGTAACTCTGAGTTATTTAAACCTGCTTAACCAGAACGATGTTTTTTATTACAATTAACTGCAAGATCGTAATTTGTAATACTTAACTTAATTTTTACTTCTGTAATACGTAATTCTAGGCAATTACAAGTCACGTACAACTATGCTTCAGAATAAGAAATGTGTCTACGAGGGCCTGAAGATGTTCCTGAGAAGATGAAACATGTTGCCCAGAGTTAAATTCTACGTTGCTAATAATATAAATATATTGACTCAGACAGAGACTTTAATCCTCTACAGGCTGTACAAAATACTAAAGAAATTTTGAGTTTAAGTACACTTTCTTCGAATAACACGACTAGTAAAGTGTTTTACAGCCAAGGTTGTGTTCCCGATAATGGCAGGTGCTTTTATCTTCGCCACAGCGTCAAAACAGCACGTGGGAGCTCAATCTCCACATCGACTGCCATTTACATTTA